TATACCTTATTCCAAATCACAGTATCACAACCATTAAGTAAAAAGCTGGAAGCTGCTGTCTTTTGTAGTAAAACCACAAGAAGGGCAGGAGCAGAGCATGGCTTAGGGTGCCTGGAGCCAGGATTCCAACATTGTTGGCATTCTCTCTGTTTTTCTCTCCATCCATTTTCTCAGACCAGCTTACTTCATGGAGCAGGAGACAAAATTGCCTATAAACTCTGCACCCACATTCTCACACCTCCTTAGCCACAGCAGAAAGCCATTTATTTCCCTTTTCCAGCTCCACGACAAAAGTCCTGTGGTGATGACTGATTGGCTTGGCTCAAGTCACCTGACCAAGATTAGGACCCATCACTGCACCAGAGGCTCAAAGGGCTCTTATTGGCGCAGCTTAGTTCTCTTGTGATGCCCTGTATAGTCAGGGAGGAAGTGGGGTAGAAAAGATTATGGACCCCAGGAAAACTTGGGCAAAAGGCCACCAGAATGTGCTGTTACTACAATTCTCCAAGCACAGGACTGGGATGTGCGATTGTGTGTTGACCTCACTGCCTGGCATCCTTGAGTACCTATCCTCAGGTGTTAACAAAGCAGCTCCTGGCCTGGGGAGGAGCTTCCCACCCTGTAGATCTACCACAGTAGTCATTCAACCAGAAGCACCCCTTCCCCCCAGGACAGGTGACAATGTCTGCACGCATTTTCACTGTCACAGTGGTGGGGTGGGGGTGGGGGATGCCACTGGCACCTAGTGGGTGGAGACCAGGGATGCCACTAAACATCCTACTATCCACAGGACAACCCCAACACCCAAAAATCATCTGGCCCAAATTGTCAATAATGTCAAGGTGGGGGAAGCCAACTTTATAGGAAATATTGTAAAATAAGGATGTTAATTAATTTTATGTGTCAACTTTATCAGACCACAGGGTGTGCAGATGTTGGCCAAACATTACTTTGGGTGTGGCTGTATTTTTGGACAAGATTAACATGTGAATGGGTGGACTGAGAAGAGGAGATAGCCCTGCTGATGCCCATGGGCCTCCCCAGCAGCTGAAGTCCTTAAAAACCGAGCTAGGCAGGGAGCTCCTCTCTCTCTTGACAGCCGAGCTGGGCCACTGGTCTTTTCCTGCCCTCAGACTCAGACTGTGAGACCAACTGTTTCGGGGGCTGCAGCCTGCTGGCTCTTGGACTGAGCTTCTACTGTCCACCTGCTGGGTCTCAGCCTTCACACTTGGCCTGAAATTCCACCCTGGCTCTCCTGGCTTGCCGAGCGCATATTTTGTCTCAGACTTCATGATTGCACACATATCCTTTGGTCTCTGGAGAACCCTGACTAATACAATGCAGACTAAAGTTTGGGGGGAAGATGGAATCCTAGCACCTCCTCTTCAGCCACCTTCTCCCACGGGAAGCATTCTGTGGGTAGCGAAGGTGGCGGGAGTCTTTCCCAGATGACCCCTGCTCTGAGACACCGCCCGTCACCTCCTTCCCCTCTCAGGACATGAAATGGAGACCACCGAGAGGACAAAGGGAACCCTGAGTGCCACAAAGGCATGGAGAAGTGCCTGCTCCCAGGACACCTGTTCCAAATAGCGCAGGGAGCAGACGGGGCTGGGAGGGAAATTGCTGCAGAGATGAAAAGCAGCAGCTGGCGCTTTCAGAGGCACAGCGTCGGGAGGAGCAGACTGGTTAGTCATTCTTAGCAACCCACCCAAGCTTCATGGAGCATTGTGTTCTTTAGAGACAATGGGGTCTCCAGAAGAAGAAAACAATCAGGGACACACAGCTGTTTCACCCTCTCCTGTCCGCACCATCGCTTGCTTGGGGCATTTCCAGATTGTGAGAGGAAACCAAGCCCCTGCCTCAGTGCTGGGAACACTGCGAGCTCTGGACAGACCCAGAACAAAGCTCCAGCTTCCAGTTCCAGCAGCCGGTGGGAACCTCAGTTTCTCCCTCTGTGAAATGGGATCGTCATGGCCCCCACAGAGATGTGATGTGATGTGATGTTTGTTAGGCAGGATGGATCTGCGTATAAAGCACAGTGCAAGGCCCGTTTCATGGCAGGTTCTCAGCAGTCAATGAGTAGCTCCTGAGCTCACCACCCTGATGATGTGGTCAGAGGACAGCAGTTGGCCCAGGGAGATCAGGGAGTCTCGTTCCTCAGTGCACCCTGAATCATCCGGAGATAGTGGCCTGCCCCAGGTGTCTGATCAGGAGGTCCAGAGAAAGTGTCTTTCCAAGTCCCCTTCCTGTCTGAGTCGGTGCTGACACAGGGTACCCTAGACAGGTGGCTTAAAACTTTGGGGGCTGGCAGAGTCCACTTCTGGTGAGGGTCCTCTTCCCATACACAGATATCTTTTCATTACATCCTCACATGGCAGAAGAAGGGAGAATCATGTTGTTGGGGGCCGCTTTCCTAAGAACTCTATTCACAGGAGCTCCAGCCACATGATTTAAGCACCTTCTCAAAGGCACCCAGTGTAACATCATCACATTGGGGTTCAGCTCCAACGTGTCATTGGGGCGGGTGGGGGTGAGAGACACAACATTGGTTCCATAGCACAGCAACAGGCCGGCCGTGCTGATGCCACTAACCCAGCGGCCACACTTGGAGAACATGGTCCTCTCCAGTGTTCAGCTCCAGCTTCACGTTAGCCTCATCAGAGAACCCACCCCCCACCCTGACTCCCATCTGACTGACCTAGTTTCCAGTATGGCCTGGACAGCTTCCCTGTCACCCCCTCGTGCAGCTGGCCGGGCACTGCGGTTCCAGTGGGGTGATGAACGGTGCTCAACCAGTGCAGTTAGGAGACCAGGGGCCCTGCGTGCACAGCCATGCCACGTACCTTCCCAGAGAGGATCTAGTCCAGCATCCACGCTCAGCTGGACACCGTGCTCCTCTGGGTTGCTCCTCACAGCCCTGCCTCACTTTCTCCACTGTAGCCATTTCCGGCCACCATGCTGGGGTCTGGAAATCCCCCAACCAAAGCCTCACACACACCACCCACCCCTGTGACCAGGTGGGAGGTCCTGTACTGACTGCATCCTGGGTGCTAGATTCTCTTTGTGGGGGGTTGCACTACTGCTTCTGTGTCCCCCAACCCACAGGCCCAGACCCAACCTGGGACCACCTGTCTTCCCACCTCCCACGAACCCAGGACAGTGTCTCCCGGTTTGGCCCTCCCAGCACCTGCTCCTGCAGGCCCAGCTCACTGCTCCCACCTCCCACTGTTCTCTACACCGTTAAGAGTCTCGTGATGCTGCAGGCGTTCACTTAAAACACCAGCAAGAAGTAAAGAAGAGTTTGTAAAGCAGGGCAGAAAGGAACCTGCCCTGTCCCTTGATGTGCACAACACAGATTGTCGCCAGGCATGATACTGACCTTAAAAGAAGCCACAGCTCCTTAAAAGAAAAATGTTTCATGGCTGAAGTGCTTCCTTCCTCTTCAGAGCCATGCCAGGCTGAGGACGGTGTGAGATTGTCCTCCCCTCCAGGTTCCTTGCTCATACCCCAGTCCACTGCCTGCCCCACACCTTCAGTCTGGTTCCCTGCTGCTGCCCCCACTGCTTCTCCCCTGAGACCCAGGCCCTCAGGTGGCACAGCTGGGGCCCTTGGGAAGCAGGCACAGTCAGCTGCCAACTGTTCCCGGGGATAGAGGAGTGCACAGTGATTTCTCTATGTCTTTTGCTTTGTTCCTAACTTATTTCCAACTCTCACTCAGCAGGGCTTTTTTTCCCCCCACTGCCATGGACATCCCTGGCCAAGGCCATCTCCTTCTTCATTGATCAGGGCATCTGAGGCCACGCTGCTCAAGTACAGACCTCCCCAGAGGACCCAGGATTAACTTACGGTTTCTTCCCACTTATACTCTTATTAGACACAAGCTGTGTACTCTTCCTCCACCTTAAAGCTGTGCTATTGTTGTGGGAATCCAAGACACTGGAGAGACCCACAAACTGAAACAGTAGAACTTTATTTCAGGCTGAAGGAGAACACTGGCTCAACCGACTCCCGTCCAAAGGAAGAGTGGTGAACAAAGAGAAGTTCCAGCTTGTCTGCATTCTGATGAAGGGAGCAGTCTTTCTAGTGGTGTAGCAGGTGAGTTTACTGGAACAGGACAAGGGAAGACAGTTTTGTAACTTTGCCTTGAAAAAAGACGGAGTCTTATGAATCATAGAAGAGCAGAGTGTCATAAACTTCCTTTACGGGACATAGCTGTTGTCAATTTCATCTGTACCAGAACAAGGAATTACAGCTACAGGGTGGTGGGGGGAGACGGGGTGATGCCCAAGGCTGGGAAAGACTTGTTTTTCTTTAAGTCCTGCTTCACTACCTCGAGACTCTGACCTCTGAATTCACTGTGTCATTGTGTTAAAGGAGCAATGGGATGGACAAGGCACACTGGGTCTTCACTGCTCTGGCCAGCAAGTGGCACATGCATTTCTGCTCACAGCACCTTGGTCTGAATGCATTGTATCACCCCAGTCTGACACAATGGGAGGGACCTGAACTCTGGTGAGCGCAGACTGTTGCACCTGCCTTTCCCAGTTGGGTGGCTTGGGTACATTGCACCCTGCTTTCATGGTGCTGCCCTGGATTCCACAGTAAGATCAGTGGTAGGGGAATGCTATGGTTTGGTTGTGATTTGTCCTCCAAATTCCATGTTGGAAGTGTGGCCTTCAGTGTGGTGGTGTTGAGAGGTAACAAACCTTTAAGAAGATAGTTCACCAGGGGCCCTGCCCTTGCTAGGAATTAATGTAGTGCCATGGGACCCCACTTACTTCCCTAGAAAGTGAGTTGTTATTAGTGAGGGAACTGAGCCCCTCTGGCTCTCCACAGGGAATGTGACCCTTCTTTTACAAACTCCCACAGTGCTGCCATAACCATAATGACACAACGGCAAGGGAGCCTTCACGAGAGGTCAAACTCACACAGCTACTTATCTTGGACTTTCAGCCTCCAAAATGTAAGCTAATCAAACCTCTTTTCTTTCCTAGCCTTAGGTATTTTGTTACAGTAACTGAAAACAGACTAATACAGAAGTTGTGCTATCAATTTTCCACTTACCCCTCAGATCTCTAATTTGTCTGGGACCTGGAATCCACTGGATTCCTCTGCTCTCTGACCTCCACTGTGGTTTAGCCAGTGGAAAAGGACCCCTGGGAAGTCCCCACTGGAGCAAGAAGTTGGAGAGTGGGAAGAAGTCTCTGTTACACCCCACCCTCCCTGCCAAGCTTGGTTATCCAGTGGCTGCTTCCTCTCCCTATAGCTGCAGCAATGGTAAAGCAGCGTCCTTTCCTCAACTCTGACCGGAGCCCCACCTCTTCTCTTTGCCCCTCCCAGGTTCCTGCTGTGGCCAGTTCCAGCTAGTTTTATCACCCTTTGACCTAAGCTTCTGAAAATACTGTCTTCATTAACTTTCCTGTTTGCATTTAAATGAACCATCTTTCTACTTTGAAAGAATCATCCTGGCACGACTATTGCCCAGCCCTACCCCAAGAATAACCACTAACATCTGTGAGGTAGTGTTCAGAAACTGGCACCACTTGAATCTCCTTCTATTGATAAACTTCTCATGCTTACCTTTTGAGACAGGTCCTACCATCTTCTCCGGTTCTCAGATAAAGAAACCAAAAGACAGAGCAGCCAAGTAACTTACCTAAGACCATACAGCCATGTATGGTACCATTTGGATTTGAACCCAGGCAGTGCAACTCCAGAGCTCCTGTTCTTACCACCTACCCTACAGCTACATGCCAAGCCACTGGTAAGAGAGTAGACCCTTGTTCATGTTGGAACAATGAGCCCTGACCACTCAGAGGCCTTGCCCAGTGTTCCTTTGTCCCTCGTCTTGTGGTTTTGTTGATGATTCTGACTTTCAGACCCTTACACTTCTAGGATTGGAGAGACTACAGGTGTTGTGATTTCTGGGCCTTTTCCCAGAATGTGACCTCAAATTAACATTAAAATACACATTTTTTTTTAATCTCTGCAGTTCAGCAAGGTATCGTCCCTCTTGTGGGTTGAAAATGTCTTCTCCCCAAAATATGTGAAAGTCCTAATCCAAGTAATTCAGAATGTGCCCTTCCTTGGAAATAGGGCGGTTGCAACTCTGACCTGCTGGGAAATGACCAAATTCTGCCCTATAAAAAGAAATGCCCCAAGTCAGTTTAAATGCAGTCATGGTGGAGTAGGGTGGGCCATCTTGCTTTTTCTGGGGGTTCCTAAGAAAGTTCTTGCCTTACAGTCTGAGTGGCTGGACCATCTTCTTGCAGTGACTTCCCCTTTCCTAAGTGACACCTTCGTTCTAAAGGGCACACTCACTCTCAAGCAGCTCTGTCACTCTGGGCAATTACTAAATTCTGTCCTATAAAAATTACTGCCTAAAACCTCATCAAATATTCACCAGATAAGGCACACGCACTGCAAATATGCATAGAGGAGCACACGTCCTAGAGCCATGCCCATCGGCTTTGCCTTCCTCGCTGGTTTGAATTCTCCGTTGCACTTCTTCATGTCAGAAACCGACTGTCAGGAGTTGAAAAGTTTACAAAATGCCTATCAGAAGAGCGCTTGGCCTCCAGAGTGTGTAAGAGAAGCCAATAACGAACATCGCAGTGCTCTTAGAAAACACAAAACTTTCAAAAATCTGGCAGACTTGTTAAAAGCTACAGGAGGAACCCAGGATTGGAGACAATGGGTCAAGTCAGGAAGAAGAAACAGGGCATTAGGAAAATGCAAATTAAAACCGCAATGAGATACCACCTCACACCCAATAGAATGGCTTCTAAAAAGAAAAAAAAACAGAAAACGGTGCTGGTGAAAATATGGAGAATTAGAACTCTTGGGCATTGTTGGGAGGGACGGGAAATGGTGCAGCTGCCACGGAAAACAGTATAGGCAGTTTCTCACAAGACTAAACAGAATGAATACATGATCCTGCAATTCTACTTTTGGATATATGCCAAAATATAACCGAAAACACAGTCTCAAAGACGTAGTTGTACACCCATATCCATAGTAGTATTATTCCAAATAGCAAAAAGTCCCCCTAGTGTCCATGATGTGTGGATAAGCAAAATGAATAGATGGTGTACATACAATGGAATTTATTCAGCCTTAAAAAGGAAGGAAATTCTGAAACATGTTACCATACACATGAACCTTGGGGATATTATGGTAGGTAAATTAGTCACAAGAAGACAAATACTAGATGATTCCAATTATATGAGGCTCCTAGAGTAGCCAAATTCATAAGGATAGAAAGTAGAACAATTGTTGCCACAGGGGTTATCACGGTTTAGACGTAAAATGGCACCCAAAGCCTTGTTTTGAAGTGAGTGGATTATGGGGGTGCCTCAGCTGGCTTGCTGTGAGGAGGCGAGGTCTGACTAGAAGAGAGCGGTCACTGGGGCACATCCTGGAAGGATCTAGTTCCTTTCCCAGTTCCTCTCTCCTCGCTCTGCTTCCTGGCTGCCATGATGCAAACAGCTTTTCCTCCTTGGTGTCCCTCCACCACGCCATCCCGCCTTGGAGCCAGCGGACTGTGGATTTAAAACAGGAGCCCGAATAAATCCTCCTCCTAGAGATTGTGGTGTCAGGTATCGTATCCCAGTGACTAGAAAGTGACTAAGACAGAGGAGAAGGATGGCAGAAATAGGTATTTAATGGGTACAGTGTCAGTTCTGTAAGATAAAGAGTCCTGGAGATTGTATAACAACGTGAATGTACTTAACAACTGTACACTTCAGATGGTAAATTTCATGTTATGTGTATTTTTCCACAATTAAATAAAAAAAAAGAAGAAACATGAAAGGGACATAGTGATGAAATCCTGTGTGGCTCCTGTCTCCCCTGGCCAGCCCTGGTCAGCGATACAGCTGCCATGTCACCGGGCCTGTCCCTTACACATGTTCCATGGGGTCGGGTTCCAGGAGATAGGCTTACATGAGGGGGACACCCTAAGCCTGTCACCTGCTCTAGACTAGAAATGCCCTGCTTAGAATTCAGGAATGCATGACATTTTTTTAGTTGCTTTAGCTTTTTCAAAATTACATTGTTGTATAGTAATGCATACATATTGCACAAAAACCAACCAAGATGTGATCAAAATATGTGGTGAATGCTGCTGCCCAGTGCCATCCAAGGGAAAAGCAGGGATCTTCAAAACCAGAAATGGCACATCGAACCTTAGTAACAGTGTATGACAAGTTTCAGAACGTTCAGAGTAGCCAGCAGTCTGTGAGCGATGGTTGAGAGCACAGGTGTCATAAAGTATGCCATAAATCATGGATCGAACAGCACATGGATGTGAAATTCTGTCAGTTTCATTGGAGTTGCAGGATTCTGTTGCTTTAGAGTCCATCTTTTTCAGAAAGTTGGGAGATGAAGCCTGGGTCTATGTTTATGGTCCTGAGATCAAGTTTCACCAGTTCTCCTTGTGTGCAAAAAACATGTCAGATCCAGAATCAAGGAGATGGCTGTTTTTGACCTGGATGGAATTGTGCTAGCTGAGTTTGTACCCAGGAATCTTACAGTAAACTTGGAATATTATAAGGGCTTATGATAGTGTTTAAGAAATGATGTGCATACACAGCCTGAGAAATGGGCAAATGGTTTCATCCTTCATCCTGACAATGCTGTGTCATGCATCACTTCTGGTCTGGGAACATCTGTCAAATGAAAATGTTAGGGTGTGTCCGCATCCACCTTATTCACCAGATCTGCTACTGTGAAACTCCTGGATCTTCCCATAAGTCAAAATGACCATGAAAGTTAGACATCTTACATCAATTCAGGACATCAAAGCAGCCATGAGACGATGCAACTAAAGATACTGATGAAAGGGCTTCCAGAACTGCTTCAGACAGTGGCAAAAGTGGTGGGATAAGTGTGTTTGGAGTGAGGGGGTGGTATTTTGAGGTGAATTCATGAGAACGTCTTTTCCTGTAATAAATTTTTAAAAACGAAACATTCCCCATGTTTTTATCCCCCTATGATATAAATTTCCTGCCTGCTCTGGCTCAGTCACCAGTTTCTGTCCTCTGAGGCAACTTCTGATTTCTTTTACATCCTTTCAGAAGAAATAGATTGACACACCAGCCTTTTCCCCTCTGACTACAGCATTCTGTGCCCCGTGTTCTGGCTCTCTTTACCACCAGAAATGTAATGTACAGAGCACTACACACCACATAATGGATGTGCTGCACTCTTCTCCTCCTTCATCCTCCACTCTATCCCTCCTGCTTCTTTTCTCTTTTCTTTGCAGAGAAATATACTTACTAACTCACAAGAAGGGAGCCATAAAGAGCCTGATACCTACAGAATGACCAGCCGTTAAGTCACCAGTCTTTTCCCTCTGCTTTCCCCTAAATGCCTGTTAACAATGTCCGGAGATGGAGCCTTCAGGAGGTGATCAGAATCAGAAGAGGTCACAGGGGTGGTGGCCCATCA